AGGAGGTGGTGGAGCTGCCTGGACTTGCCAGTCCCTCCCTCTTGGGGCTCTCAACCCACGGCCCGGAAGTGGATCCCTCTCTCACGGCTGCCTCCCACTTTGAGTGGCTGGACACGGCTGGATAATCCAAAATAATTCCTTCTTGGCAGGCGGCCGGCGGGGGAGGGGGGACTCACATTCCAAACCCTGTTTTTCTCAGTGACTTCCCTCTGCTCTTGGGGCTAGGAGCCCCTGGCCAGACATCAGGCCTCCCTGACCTTGTGTTGGAGTTGGAGAGGTCGGGGGTGGCTCAGAACTGCCAGCCCACCTGCTTGTTCCTCAGTCTGGTCTAGTAATTTCTGTGCAACTTGCTAGAGCTGACCCCCACCTCCCTGGGAATCTTCTCTTCTGGACCAGGGAAGGAGGACTCCTCTCACCACAGTCTGCCTTTCCAGTTGGTTCTCCCTAGGTGCCAGGGTACTATCTGGGGGTGCGGTCAGCTGAGAGCCCCCATCTCTGAGCAGCCCCAATCTTCCACTCCTACAGTAGGTTGTGTGTGTTTGTGTGTGGGGGGGAATTTCTGAAGAGGCTCAGCTTTAAAGCCCTCAGCACACCGGCTGGGCTGAAGTTGGAAATCAAAAGAGACTTCCCCAGGGCAAGTGAGAGCCCAGAGAACCCCCCTGGCCCCATAAGTTCCATCAGCTTGGGGCCTAGCCTCATCCTCAGTCCCCAGTCCTGCCACTACCATGGTGGCCACAGACAGACAGAACCCTTCCTTCCTTCTCCCAGGAGCTGGAAGAGGAGCCAAGTGACGTGGCAGGAAGCTCCAGATAAAGGACACAGGACCCCCCAAATTTGCCAAACAGCCTGACCACGAAGGAGGGGGGGACGGCCCATCCATAAGGGTCCCCTTCAGGAGAAGGGCCTGAGTGCTGAACACCCTCCCCAAGTTCTAAGACTTCTTGGGTCCACCCAAACACCACGCCAGGAGGGGCGGAGGAGACCCTACTAGGAGGCGTGGGGCCTCGCGAAGGGCTGGATGTTGGTTCCTCCGCCACGGGTCCCCTCCACCCTGGAACCTTGTCCCTGGGGGCTGGAGGCCTTGCAGAGGCCTGCCCGTGGGTCCAGCTCCCGAGGAAAGCCCGCAGAGCCAGGTGTCTGCGCAGGCTTAGCGGGGGCTGGGGCGGCGGAGCTTTCGCACTACAGACTCGACCTGCCGGCCTCCGGTGCCAGGATCTCGGCGACTAGCGGGGCCTGGGCGGAGAGGGAGGGTCGGGAACTAGCTCGGGTCAGACGCAGCTCCAGAGACTGCGGAGCCCCCGTCGGGCCAGGCCAGTCTCCCAACGCCCGTCGCCGCAGGCCTCGTCCGCCGCCCGGAGGCGCG